GTTTTTAGTGCTGAGGGAGCCCTTAGATTTGCATACCTCAAAAAAGATTCACATTTTTTTCAGGAAAAACAACCACGAGTGATTATTGCTCTCTGAAACTCCGATGGATAAACTTTTTTACTACAAAATTTTGCTCAGGTTTTGAAACAAAAAGAATAGAAATATCAAGTCAAGTTTTGATAAAAATTATTGGCTTAAAAAGATCCATGTAAACTGATTTACATTGATTTTTTTAGGTACGAATTTATTTATTTTTTCAATAAAAAATTCAAACATTCCCTTTTAAACCATTTTGCATACCTAAATGGGCTACTGTTAAACTATTTTGATACAGTATACAATCAGTTGGATAATAAATGATTTATAAATCAAATTAAAAAGGCTATCATCCATTATTCATCAGCAAACTTCATCGTTTATTTTCTTTAGTTTTCTTTGTTTTCAATTTTTTTTGTTTCCGATTGATAATTTTTTTTTTCATTTTTTAGCTTTTTTTCTTATTCGACTTTTTGAAAAAAAAACCATGAAAAATGTTTCAAGCAATGCAAACTCAAAAATCGTCCAAAAACGCCTAAACATGAATTTATACGTATTTCTTAAAAATAACCGTACTGACCAAGTGGATTGCAATCACTTTCATGCAGATAATGTAGCAAGGACCTAGAAAAATTGATATGCATCGATTTGAAATCGACTCTGTTTGGTACCAAAAGTAAACTTAAAGTCAATTTCAACCAACTGTTAATCTAATTAAATACAATATATGATTTTTATGGTATCATTTGGGCCAATTTTGAGTAACAATAAAATCAGTTAAAATGGATTTTTTATTTTTGTTCACTTTTTTGATGGCTTTTTGATACAGATTCTATAAAAACTGTTTTCAGATTTGTTCATTCATCAAGAATAGGAAGAATTTGAATTGAACTTATATAGTATGCTATACATTTTTTTTTGTGTTGATGTTTTGCTGAAAAAAAATTCTGAGAATAACTAATCTGTATAATTTATGCAAAAAAAAAATGAAAAAAATGAGTTGTTCTAAGTTGAGTTCATTAAAATGGCAATTACTTAACATAATTGCGCCTAGAACGTTGAAAAGAACGTTGCGCCTAGAGATTTTTTGCGAAATTTTGCGTTCATTTTTTCGATTAGTTTTTTTGATACAGAATCTATAAAGACTATTTTCAGATTTTTTTCGTTCTTCAAAGAATAGGAAAAATTTGAAATGAACTTATATGGTATGCGTTACATTTCGTTTTCGTGTTAATGTTTCACCTGAAGTAAAACTCTTAATATAGCTAACCTGTATATTTTCTGCACAAAAAATGAGTTGTTCTAATTTGAGTTCATTAATATGGCAATTGGTTAATTTAATTGCGCCTAGAACGTTGAAAAAGATTTTTGGAGAAACTTTGCACTTCTGTTAAAATTTTGTTTTTAGTGCTGAGGGAGCCCTTAGATTTGCATACCTCAAAAAAGATTCACATTTTTTTCAGGAAAAACAACCACGAGTGATTATTGCTCTCTGAAACTCCGATGGATAAACTTTTTTACTACAAAATTTTGCTCAGGTTTTGAAACAAAAAGAATAGAAATATCAAGTCAAGTTTTGATAAAAATTATTGGCTTAAAAAGATCCATGTAAACTGATTTACATTGATTTTTTTAGGTACGAATTTATTTATTTTTTCAATAAAAAATTCAAACATTCCCTTTTAAACCATTTTGCATACCTAAATGGGCTACTGTTAAACTATTTTGATACAGTATACAATCAGTTGGATAATAAATGATTTATAAATCAATTTAAAAGGGCTATCATCCATTATTCATCAGCAAACTTCATCGTTTATTTTCTTTAGTTTTCTTTGTTTTCAATTTTTTTTGTTTCCGATTGATAAGTTTTTTTTCCATTTTTTAGCTTTTTTTCTTATTCGACTTTTTGAAAAAAAAACCATGAAAAATGTTTCAAGCAATGCAAACTCAAAAATCGTCCAAAAACGCCTAAACATGAATTTATACGTATTTCTTAAAAGTAACCGTACTGACCAAGTGGATTGCAATCACTTTCATGCAGATAATGTAGCAAGGACCTAGAAAAATTGATATGCATCGATTTGAAATCGACTCTGTTTGGTACCAAAAGTAAACTTAAAGTCAATTTCAACCAACTGTTAATCTAATTAAATACAATATATGATTTTTATGGTATCATTTGGGCCAATTTTGAGTAACAATAAAATCAGTTAAAATGGATTTTTTATTTTTGTTCACTTTTTTGATGGCTTTTTGATACAGATTCTATAAAAACTGTTTTCAGATTTGTTCATTCATCAAGGAATAGGAAGAATTTGAATTGAACTTATATAGTATGCTATACATTTTTTTTTGTGTTGATGTTTTGCTGAAAAAAAATTCTGAGAATAACTAATCTGTATAATTTATGCAAAAAAAAATGAAAAAAATGAATTGTTCTAAGTTGAGTTCATTAAAATGGCAATTACTTAACATAATTGCGCCTAGAACGTTGAAAAGAACGTTGCGCCTAGAGATTTTTTGCGAAATTTTGCACTTCTGATAAAATTTTATTTTTAATACCTCGGGAGCCGTTATTTTTGCAAACGTGAAAAAAAGAATCCCTTCATCACAATTTTTTTTTCAAAAAAAAGCTCCTCGAGTGATTATTATTCTCTGTAATTCCGATGGAAATAATTTTTGCAAAAGTTTGCTGACGTTTTGAAACGAAAAGAATAGGAAAATAATAAGTCAAACTTTGATAGAATTCAGGGCTGTGAACAAACCCGTGTAAACTGATTTAAATCAATTTTTTAGGTAATGAATTTAATTGTTTTTCAGTCAAAAAATCCAATCAGTCTCTTTTTAATTGATTTGCGTATCTAAATGGGCTACGATTAATATATTTTGATATTGTATAATATCTCTAAAACATGGTTTAAATCGATTCCAATCTCATGTTTGTCAGTGCGGGTTACTAGGTTGAGCCAACGTCTCTCCAGGGTACTGGCTGTCTAGCCGATAGAACATAGGCCGAAAAAGTATCTTAATGGGTTAACGCCGAAATTATGTAGATGGTATAATAAAACGTCTTTGGTTTTCGGTCTATATTTGGAGCGTTTTGATTTTGGGGGCAACACTTACTGGAACCTCATTTTCCCAGTAAATACACCTCTACTGGGACTTAGTCACATTAACCTTCACTGAGACTGACCTTTACTGGGATCGATCCAACCAGCTTCTCGGAAAGTTTACTCTCAATTTTTATGGATTGATTGTAAGGGATCTTTGTTTTTTAAATTAAAACAAGACTACTCGTATCAGGGCGAAGCCCTGAATGTTCCGACTGCCTTTTAAGGTTTATGGAGCAGTAATAACATTAAAAAAATCAATGAAATAAAACAAAATAAAAAATTTTTTTTTCTAAAATTTGACATTTTCAACGAAAATCATCCCCCGACACGCCATACAAAGTACAAAAGGATAAATTTCGCTCCTTGTAACAAACCAACTATGGCAAATAAGCTTCTTTTAACCAATTTGGAACGATTTCTAAGACGGATTAACTCTCCGCTTACGCGTTAATAGCGCGAAATATATCGCGCGTTAATTGTCCCAAATTGGCCAAAATGGCAATCTTTAAACCCCCGTAACTTTACCAAAAATGATCACAGGTAAAATATCTTTTCAAATTTGAGCTCAGGACAACAATACTTTTCGAATGATGTAAAAAAATTCCGTCAAAAATGGTTAGTTAAAAAGTCGAAATTTGTCTGAAGAAAAAAAAACCGAGCACAAATATTCCGTTACTTTCGTATCGAAAGTCGGAACAATAATTATAATCTTCTATCAAAACTCATCGTATATCGGTGTGAATGTTCAGTCTGCGTTTTTAGGGCAATTCAACAGTTTTTTTGCTAGAAAATGACGAAAGAAATTAAAAACAAACTTAAAAATTTTGTTGGGATGTAATTAGCGCCCAATATTTTAACAACAAGACCAAATAACTTGCCTAAATTCAACTTGGAACTCATTAATCTGCCGCTCACATGTGTTAGAAGAACAAAATGTATATCGCGTGTTATTTATTCAAACCCCCATAACTTAACAAAAAATGGTCACAAGTGAAATATCTTTTGTATTTGAGCTCGGGACAGCAATCTTCGGATGGTTTAAATAAAATTCTGTCTTAAATACTTTGTTAAACATTCAAAAATTGACTGAATATAAAAGTCGGAACAAAACAACCACCTCAAGCATAATTGTTCCGCACTTTTTTTTCAAAAAGTCTGAAAAAAGTCCGTTTTTATGTTTTCATGGGTCTTGATAATCGATTACATGAGCTAAATTGTTTATCGTTTTAATTGTTCCGACTTTCGAAGAAAATGGAATATTTATGCTCGGTGTGGTTGTTTTAGTCAGTTAATTTTCGCCGATCGAAATAAAAATTTTCAACAAATTTTTTATACCCCATTGAAGATATCGACTTTCTGAATTCAAATGTAAAAAAAAAACATTTTACCTCCAATTATTTATGCAAAACTCTGGGGGTTTGAAAATTGCCAAATTGGCCATGTTCTGAACTAAGTTAAGCGCAATTTAAAGAATTTATTCATTTTGCTGAGAGCGTAACGCGAATTATTTATGCGTAGCGAATTATGCGTAGCGAATCGTTCCAAATCGAATTGAAGCTAGCTAATCTGATCGGTCGTATTAAATTCATACGCCTCAACATTCATACTTTGATATCGTCCAGAACTTCGTCCAGATATTTACAGGTTTTCAATATTTTCTATTCCCAAAAACTATTCGATATGGATTAAAGGACAGTCGGAAAATTCAGGGCTTTGCTCTGATATACGAGCAGTCTTGTTCATTATAATCGATAAATTTCCATGAAACTCCAGTGCTGAGCACAATTTGGTGTGTGCGTCTCTGAAATCCAGAGACAAGTCTTTGAACATAGTTAAATTTTTGTCGGAACGATCAAAGAAATAAACGAAAGAACAAAGGAAGATCAAAAAGGCGTCTTTGTTAAAGAATCCGCTTATAATTCACAAAATACACAGTTTGGTCTGTTCCTGTCGTTGGTTTTAATTTACAACGGAAATCGTAACATTGGAATACGGAACTCTGATGACCTGATTGAGCCTGTAAATTATTCAATGAACCGAATTAAATTGAAATTTTGCGGAAGAGAATACATCTGGTATCCATAGTTGTTTGTTGTTTGTTTATACCAAAGTTGGACGTAATGGCAACAAAAAAAAGGTTTCCAAAAAGAAATATTGAAATAGAAAATTGAGGGAGAACTTAAAATGGGCCAAAATATTTTTCATTTATGGGCCGTAATTCACATGACATTTGTACTCTTGGTAAAAGGTCAAATTAACTCAGACCGCCTGGTTTATATCGAGGGTTTGCCCGTCGACCACAGAGATGGTCTGACAGTGTCTAACAAATTCATGTATCCCGACGAATGCAATCAATACTGTGTAAACACTGATGGTTGTGAATCATTCAGCTGGAACTCGCAAAACAGCGAATGTCGTTATTACTCTTGGCCTCTGGACCCAGAAAATTTTTCGAAGGTGCCTCGAACATACTGGTATGTGAAAAACTTCAGAGAAATTCGATATATTTTTGGAGCTGATTCAATTAAGATGAACATAGTTAATAACTATTTGGAGCAGGAGCCACGAAGTTTAGAAACGACTAGCGGAACTACAAGTCTGACTTCAAGCTACACGACAAGTCTCACGACTCAAGGAATCACGTCGCAAACGACAACAAGCGCGACAACAAGCGCGACTACAAGCGCGACTACAAGTTCCACAAGCAGTCCGACAACTAGTTCAACTACAAGTTCCACAAGCAGTCCGACAACTAGTTCAACTACAAGTTCGACAAGCAGTCCGACAACTAGTTCAACTACAAGTTCGACAAGCAGTCCGACAACTAGTTCAACTACAAGTTCGACAAGCAGTCCGACAACTAGTTCAACTACAAGTTCGACAAGCAGTCCGACAACAAGCTCTATTACAAGTTCGACAAGCAGTCCGACAACAAGCTCAACTACAAGTTCGACAAGCAGTCCGACAACTAGTTCAACTACAAGTTCGACAAGCAGTCCGACAACAAGCTCAACTACAAGTTCGACAAGCAGTCCGACAACAAGCTCAACTACAAGTTCGACAAGCAGTCCGACAAATAGTTCAACTACAAGTTCGACAAGCAGCTCGACAACTAGTTCAACTACAAGTTCGACAAGCAGTCCGACAACTAGTTCAACTACAAGTTCGACAAGCAGTCCGACAACAAGCTCAACTACAAGTTCGACAAGCAGTCCGACAACAAGCTCAACTACAAGTTCGACAAGCAGTCCGACAACAAGCTCAACTACAAGTTCGACAAGCAGTCCGACAATAAGCTCAACTACAAGTTCGACAAGCAGTCCGACAACAAGCTCAACTACAAGTTCGACGGATCCCGTTGCTTGCCAGCGTGGAAACTCTTGCAATGCCCCAGGCCGCGGTAATGGTTAGGTCTTGCTCAAGTGTGGCAAGCCGACAACAAGCTCAACTACAAGTTCGACAAGCAGTCCGAAAGCTGAATTTCGAAAACTTCATTTTGATTTTCCGATCGGTCCTGATGCAATACAATAACTCTATTTTCCAAATTCTTCCGCACCGCCCCCGTCAAATCTCTTTTGATCAATTCTCGTTTTGTCTTATTTCCATCTCACGCGCACACGCAAAAATGTTTTTCTTAATAGTTTGAATCTATTAGATCATATCAAGAATTACATGGGACATTACATATTATTTGTTAATATCTATTTTTGCAGTTTGTTTGTGTTTCATTAGTTTCCCGGGTCGAGATCCCGCTCAAAAACCGCTCAAGATTTGAGCGGTTTGAGCGGTTTTCCAGCAAGATTTGAGCGGTTTGAGCGGTTTGGGCGGTGTGGGCGGTTTTTTTTGGAAAAACCGCTCAAACCGCTCAAATCTTGCTTAAAAAACCGCTCAAAAACCGCTCATTTCTTGCGGTGATTTTTGAACGGTTTTTCAAGCAAGATTTGAGCGGTTTTTGAGCGGTTTTTGAGCGGTTTTTGAGCGGTCTTCCCGGGTCGAGGTCCCAGACTCAACATTTCTCTTCTCTGCAAAACTCGAACGAACACGTTCATCCAGGGGCGACCAATATGTAGTAATTTTCCAAAAAGTGCCCAAAAACAGCAATAAAAATCCTGACAGTACATTTGTTGTGCATGTCTAAAACATTGAACATACTCAGTAGAACAAATACAGCGAATATTAAGCTTCCAGCAAGTCCGCATAGACTAACGGATAAGGCGTCTGACTTCGAATCAGAAGATTGCGGGTTCGAATCCCTCTGTGGTCGACTTTTTATTAGATAAACCGCTCAAAACCGTTCAAATCTTGCGCGGTTTTTGAGCGGTTTTTTTAGACAAACCGTTCAAAAACCGCTCAAACCGCTCATTTTGAAGCAAGATTTTGAGCGTAATTGTCTAAAAAAACCGCTCAAACCGCTCAAATCGTGCTTCAAATTAGGTGAAAAATCTCGACTCGGGTTATGTTAATACACGGGCAATATAAGGTTTATCACTCTCTCCGACTTTTTTCATCCTCATAATTTCATAGCTAGTTCTCATCGGTGATCAAGTTAATATCCTCTCCCCTTAATAGACCAAGTTAAGATCCTCCACCCCAGCGCTTAAATTAAATTAAATTTGCTAAGCGCTGCATGTAAAATGCTCGATTCTGATTGGCTGAAAATTCCCAAGTTAGAACCAAGTTAACATCCTCCCCCCTAAACGTGTTTAGGGGGGAGGATGTTAACTTGGCCGCTCCTCGGTACCAAAATGATAAATCAAACCCATTTGTACGAAAATAAAAAATCGATCGAGTTAGTACCAAAAATATTCAATTATCCAAAGACTACTAAACCGACTATTTTAAGCTCTTGGCTTAAGGTCGCCGGTGGGTACGCTACGCGCGCGTCGCCGCCTTGCGGCGATAACGGGCTCTAACTTTCGTAAAGAGTCCTACCCTCTGTTGGCAAGCTCGCAATACGTTGGCGCGACTGCGGCTGTCATTATTCTGCTGCTTAGTTTTCTTCTACTTGAACAGTACAAAATTATTGTAGTATTTCGTTGGCTCACAATTCGACCAATCAGAAATCGAGTTGAATAACTTTGGTACAAATGGGACCGATTTTTCGTTTTGGTACAAATGAACGTTGGTACAAATGGGACTTCACCGTGCTCCTCTCCATTCGTCATAATATTTATTTTTTGATGACAAGGCAAAACTTCATTCTTCGGCAACAAATGGATCAAGGCGCCGTGTCGAAAATTCAGACGGAGAAAATTTCACCATCGAAAACGATAAAAATGACACTGTTCATGATTCTCTCCCTCTTAATTTACACTGTACGATATTTAGATTGAATTGACTATTTTTAGTGATTATTCGTCAAGGTAGCTACGATACACACTTTAGCGGGTTTAGGAGGGGTCTGAGGGGTGGTGGGTTTCCTCCTCTGGGAGGTCCTCTGTAGGAATTTGACCCCCCGACTACCAAAAGGGTTCCCCTTTAGGTACTTTTTACGCTTACGAATAGCAATCGTTATCAAATCGGAATACAGAATTTTTTTTGGTTTAACTTGTTTAACAAAATCACTTGCATCACTAGACTTCTTTCACGTGCACCATTCACGTGCTATCATGCTCAAATTCTTCAAAATTTAAAGTGAACTATCGGTCCACCGCTACTACCGACAGAATTTTTAAGAATTTGTATCAGTACTCTGATATTGATAATTGGCTTCTCAAGCAAACCCAGGCAGGTCTACTTTTTAAGTCGAAATATTCCGTTTTAAGAAAGTTTTTGGCCTATCTTTTGTCTGATTATGTTTTAACGGCTTAGTTGCCGCATGACTGATTTTTCTTGTTTTACAAAATAGTTAAGTCTTATGATAGCTTGGCTGAACTCCAACTCAAATTATCCTAAATTTTCAGGCATGCAAAGATCTATTGTTCGAATCTGGCCCGAACCTATTTCTTATAAAAAAGGAAATTTTCCGTTGCAAAAATTATCGACATGCGTGTCTGCTAGTGTTTGGTCGGTTAGTTTTTTCATATATTTTTGCTGGTTTTTAAATAATTTTTGTTGTTATAGTTGAAAGAGTTATGTTTTGTGACTGTAATTTGAAAGCTTGTTAACTTTGCAACCTACCTTTTTTGCTTTTTTGGCCTGAAAACTTTGTTTGCTTCAATTGTTTCGACTTATGATTCATCAAGTAGGTGACCTAATAGCGAAAGTTTGAAAAATTAAATTTTTCATGCTTTGTGTTTTCGGAGGCAGAGGAGCGTAAAAGTTTAGATTTTGAGAACCTACAAAAGTTTTTCAATTGAAAACAATTAAGCTCATGAAAGGTCTAATCAACTTTTGTCGACTCAGTTGCCGCTCAATTTTTGTATCTAAATACCTTTTAAACACCAGTTATTGTGTTTGTAGACGTGTTTTTGTCTATTTGAACATCATTTGAGTCAAATTTCTGAAGTTTTTGTAGCTGTGGTTTTCTCCAAATTTCGGTCTTTTTTTCGACAAAAAGGCTTTTGTTTCATTTTTCCTCTGCTAGCTTGCATTGCTATGTCTGTGTAGTATCGCAAGTGGTGCGAAGCTCCTCTTCACCTGTGTGTTAATGAACTCCATTTTTGGCCGGCTGGCCCCATAGTTTTTCTATAGGCGCTGTCGCAAACCAACAATTAATTAGGTTTCCTGGGTTGACTTCAATGTAATAACAATTCTCTACTATAAAATGCCTCACAAATTTCAAAAGTGATCAAAAATTTGCTTATTACTTTTTTTTTAAAAACTGTGCTCGAAAAACTTTAGAAAATAACGTGCAATGAAAACTGTTATATTTTGTCTATAACAATTTGCAGTTTTCAACATTCACAAAAAATTTTAGGTGGTACACAGGGGCGGATCTAGGGATCTAGGATTTTCTCGATGGGGGGCGGATTTTCAAAAATTTTCAAAAATTTTATCTCGACCTTATTTTTTTTTAGCTCAGCCGAATTGATTTTCCGAGCCTTCCCAAAGCACTAAAAAGGCGCTGTTTTGGTAAAATTTTCTGCGCCGCAGGCAAAAGTTTGAAAAACAGGCCAAAAAAGGCTTTTTAGGCAGTTTTTAGAAAATTTTGACCAAAAAAGTTTAAGTTTCGTTTTTTTGGCGCGCGCTTTCCCCTTAAAGTAATTATATATTGGCGCCGAGGGCGCCTTTAGAAAATTTTTAGGGTCCGTCACCAAATATGGATATTTCAAAATAGTACAAAGGGGGGACCCTTTGGGTCGGCAGGGGGTCGAATCCCCGAGGAGGCGGCGTCCGCCCCCTGCCCCCCCTAAACCCGTCCCTGGGGGTACACCAGCAGATTTAGGGTGGGGGGGGGGGGGTGACCGGACGCCTTTTTCTCAAGGATTCGACCCCCTGCCGACCCAAAGGACCCCCTCTTTGTACTATTTTGAGATGTCCCTTTTTGGCTGACGGACCCTAAAGTTTTTTCTGAAGGCGCTTTTGGCGCTAATATATGAAAGTTTTTTCTGAAGGCGCTTTTGGCGCTAATATATGTTAGTTTTGTAGTTTTGAAGGGGCGGGGGATCGTGCCTAAAAAACGCAATTTTTTAATCAAATTTTTGCAAAAAAAATACCAAAAATGCCTTTTTTGGCCTGTTTTTTCAAAAATTTGGTCAAAATGGGGTCTCAGAAAAAGGAAAGTCTGAAAAATCCGCCCCCCCCCCCCCACTTGAGAAAATCCTAGATCCGACTCTGGTTTGGTATCTTGCATTAAGCGGAAACCTGAGTTTTTGTTTCTGGTCGGAACCAGACACTTCGTCTACTGTACTATCTTGAATATTTTATGACTCGTGAAAAGTACTGCAGTACTCATCAGCGCCAATTGTAAGAAATTAAGTAGGAAGTTAAGTCAGCGCCAATTGTAGGAAGTTAAGCGAAAAACTTAAAATTTATTTCTGGTCGGTGCCAGACACTTCGTCTATTCAACCATCCTGAATATTTTCTGACTGGTGAAAATACTGCAGTACTCTTCAGCGCCAATTGCAGGAAGCTAAATGATGATATATATTTCTGATTCACAGCTAGTTTTTTAATCATGAGATATAGTCCCATATCTTTGAGAACAGACGCACATAGTGAATAAAGTTAAAAGAAGGAACTCAAAAAGTCTGCGATTTTTAGTTTATGGAAAACTGCTAGTCGCATAATTTCATGCAAGGAAAAATACTTACAAATTTGTACATATATGGAATGTCAAGGAAATGGAATGAGAATTGTATGACTAACAGGTGGCGTGGTTTTTTTTAAAAAAATTGAACAAACTAGATCATTGGGTCCGTCGAACGTGGATCTACTGTTACGATTTTCGAAGAGAGCAGCGGAAAATTATTTTGCGAACCCATGATTTGCTGAGAATATGCCTAATTGATGGGTTAACACAAAAACGGAAGTGTTGAAATACCGTTTCCTTATACCAGAAAAAAACGGTGTTGAAAAATTGCGAGCCAGGCTTGCCTTACTTCTTTTTAATTATGCTCGAAAGATAAGAAATTTTAATTTTTAATCACAATTTTGAAGCAAAACAAACTTTTTAACATATAAACATTTTAAACATTTTTCATTGGAAGTATTTGATCATCTCACGGCTTTTTCCCATATTTTCACCGTGTTCAAGGTGTTCAACTAAATATTCCAACAAAGTTTAGTACACTTGATTTTTGAAGTTTGATGATAGAATTTTGTTATGGCATTTTGCTTATGGTATTTTATTTTAAAAAAAAACAGGAGAAGAGCCATCATGACATGTCAATCAAAACATTGAAGTTTTGATAATGGAATTTTATTATGGCGTTTTGTTTATGGTATTTTATTTAAAATAAAGCTGGAAAAGAGCCATCATGACTTGTCAATCAAAACATTGAACTTTTGATGATGGAATTTTACTATGGAGTTTTGTTTATGGTATTTTGTTTTAAAAAAACAGGAAAAGAGCCATCATGACATGTCAATCAAAAGCTATCTGAATTAATCAGATTTATTGGTTTCTGGTTAGTAATTTCGTTAGGTTTACTAGATCGGTTAATAATTTTTCAAAGAATAGAGCAACGACATGCGCAGCAGTTACTCATTTTCGGACAGTGTACTGATTTTTCCAACCCGTAGACCCATGCTTTACACGCTTTCGCGTTGTACTTCAAGTCCACCTCTGTAACAGGAATGGCCACTAATAAAGCCTTCTGCTTCAGAATCCTCGATCTGTAACCCGAATGTCTGGCGTATCGATCGTTCAGAAGTTTTATGATCTTCTGATTGGCCACATCGGACTGATTGGGTATGGGGGCAGGGGTAATGCGGGGCCCTTTCTCTTCTTTATACACCGGGGTCCCATTTGCACGTCGCACTTTTTTGTCTTTCACTTTTACCGGGTTCCCATAAAAGTAGATGTCGTTTTCTTCCCTGAACTCCGCAGCAACCATGTATATGGTTCTAATGAACAAACATTTGATCATTAAGAGTTTGTATGATTCAAAATTACGCAAAATTAGATATTATTCAGTGCATTCGATATTTATCCTTCAAATCAACAATTGTTGTCAACTCGGATTCTAGAGTCTTTTTTTTCCAGACAAACAACTAGTTCAACGAATGCTCCACTTGTATGGATGATAACTTTTATGGTTTATTCACACTGTTTAGAAAACAGGTTTTTTTCGCCCAAAATATACACTTTTCAGATTTATTCAATTCTTCTCAAGTGTTTGTTTTCAGTTTTATCCGGCGATTTTCATGTCTAGCAATATTGAGTTTGAATAGCAGCTTGAATGCGTTTCTGAGAAAATCTTTCATGTTTTCCACCTTCCTGGTTTTGGGTTCAAATTTTGATGGGGTAGTCGTTACCTGACTTTTTGTTCCGACTTTCGCAACGAAAGTAACGGAATATTTGCGCTCTGAGTGGATTTTTTTCGTCAGACAATATTTGATTATTTAACTAGCTATTTTTGACAGAATTTTTTATATCATTCAAAAGGTATTGTTGAAAAAATTTGAAAAGATATTTCACCTGTGATTTTTTTTCGTAACGTTATGGTGGTTTAAAGATTGCCATTTTGGCCAATTTGAGGCAATTCACGCGCAATATATTTCGCGCTATTAACGCGTAAACGGAGATTTAATCAGTCTAGAAATCGTACCAAATTGGTTGAAAGAAGCTTAATTGCCATAAACCATAATTGATTTATTACTAGGAGCGAAACTTATCATTTTGTAATTATATGGCGTGTGGGGGGGGGGTGTGATTTTTACATAACATCTCTTTTTTTTTTTAATTTTCACATTTTATTTTTATTACATTTGATTTTTTCATGCTATTACTTTTTCAAAGACCTTAGAATGCAGTCGGAAAATTCAAGACATTGCCCTGATACGCGCAGTCTTGTATATTTTTAGATTTTAGACTGTTTCCTTTTTAGTCCAGATTAAGACACGAAGATAATTTCAAGATTTTAGCATGTACTTGATCACAAGGTGAAAAGTAAATGTTTCGTTTTGCCCCAAGATATTTTTGATCTTTTTATCCCAAGATCACAAGGTGAAAAAGAAATGTTTCCAAAACCTGTCGATTTGCAAAAAACTAGAAATTGTTTTCTGTTTTGTTACTCATTCTCGAAAAATTTCAACCTTGCCTGTTGTGCTCAGCAGTCAGTTTGAAATCCACTGATGATGTTGCTGCTGCTTTCAAAGTTGATCAAGAGATCTAAGTTTGTTGTCTCTCCAAAAATTGTCTAAAAAGTCTACAAACTTGACCAAAAACGCAAAACTGATGAAATTGGTGAAAATGAACCAACAATGAGTCCAGTTGCTGCGATTAGCACGGAATGTTCCAACCAAATCTCAAAAATCTCCAAAAATGTTTTTTTTTTGCTAGAGTAGTTTTTTTTGTGCGTAGTAATTTAGTGAATCAGGCATAAATGGCAACATTTGTGTTCTAAAAATGACAAACAAAAAATGAAAATAAAATTGAATATTTTCTATTTGTTTGCACAATAGTTTTCCAACTTTTCAAAAACCATTTTTTTTGCTAAGGAAGAACTAAATCAATATCCTAAAACAAATTGTCTTTTTTAAAATCATTTTTTTTCGAACCGGGTTTTCTAGCACTGGGACAACTTTTTGAAAACTTTCTTCTGCTGTTCGAATACGGACTCAAAAAAAAATTAATAACTTTCAATCGACCCATTCCCTTCCGATGATTATTTGTGGCACCTAATTTTGCGTGGATAACAAATGAAGAAACAAAAAAATGCTCCTCAAGAATTGTCTTTAACATGAGAAAACACCATTTGAATTCTCTCCTAATTTACAGCACCAAATGATTCCTTTTCAAAATTGTTTATTCCCGTCGTTAATATTGATCTTTAAAAGTGTTTATACATGATAAAGTTGCCAACCAGTTCATGTTTAATTTTAAAAGGAATGCCAAATACTGCATTAAAGATAGCAAATTCAACAATCATAATAAAATTGGTGAAAGGTTTGTCGAAATAACATCCCCTATTGAGTTGGTATAGATTTTTGGAACGCTTCAACCAACTATACCTTCCATTTGAAGAAAGCGGCGAAAAGTCAAAAGATTTTCTTGCTTAAAATTATATTAATGTAGGCTATTACAATTTCCCGGATCGCAAAAACTGTATGTATCAAAAGTGCCAACCTTGATTTTGAAGGAAAGTGCCAAATAGCTATCAAAACACTTGATGACCAGCAAACCAGAGTTTTTTGACAAAACAAATTTTATTGGCGAATTACAAAGAGCCAAAAGGACAAATTCTGGAGTTTCTGAAGTAATTCTGCCTCTTAAATTTTCAAAAACGTTTGAAAATAAAACTGAATTTTTAAAGTTGATTTGGTCAAAAAAAACACTGCCAAAAATTGCGCTTTTTATTTTTTTTTTGAAAACTCGAGGCCACTACTACTACTTCCAAATGTTTCTCTCTCAAGAAAGATTTAGCTTCCAAATTTTTAGAACAAAAGTATAGCATTAAATACCAACAAAAGGCAAACATAAAATTCAAGAACACTTTCAGCTAAGTATCAGCTTCATTGCGAGACTTGTTTCTGAAGTTTATCAGAACTATCCAAAATTTTGTCAAAAATTATAGAAAACTTAAGAAAATCGAAATAGAAACTCAATTAAAAAGAGCAACTTATCCAAAATGCATTTCTCAAGATTGCCTGAAAATTCAAAACTGCCCACCATTTTGATTAAAAGTATGGTATATTGCATTTTTATTTGCTTACTCTCTCCCTTTCAATTTTGTGCTTTGACTTTTACGGAAACTGTCGGAATATTTGAGCTCGAGGACGTTTTTCTTCAGACAATTTTCGACTTTTTGACTAGCCATTTTGACTAATATCCACACTTGTGCTCAATTAAAAAAAGTTCTTTGATCTGTGATCATGTTTCGATAAGTAATGAGGTCTGAAGTTGGCAATTTGAGATAATTTTTACGTGCTACAGTGCTGATTTAAATTAACCGGACAAAACGCGTTAAACTTGAAATTTAAAACCCGTTTTTCTCGAATTGGGTTGAGTTTAAGTGAAAACTTATGAAGACAAAACTTGCTTAAATTTTTTAGCAAAATTGATATGGTGTAATTTATTTTGCGAAATTCAGGCCCGAAATTTTACCCCAAAAATGAGTCATTTTGGCTTTTTTTAGTTAATAAAAAATTACGCCAAAAATACCCAGCTGATCACAGATATAAATATATCAAAGTGAGTCTCTTATGTAGCCCAACAAACTTTAAGCCTCTTACGTAGCCCAACAAACTTTTTAAAAAAGTTTGCAAACCGTTTAAAAGTTGTTTTTAAATAAAAATTTGGTATTTTATATAGTAAAAACGTCCTTTTTTGTCTATCAAACAAAACTTAATTAACTTATACAATGTTTTGGAGATTATACCTTTCTTAAAGTTTGTTGAGCTACGTAAGAGGCTCACTTTAATATAATCATGTTCGTGATCGACTGGGTTATTTCAGCGTAATTTTTGATAAAATAAGAAAAGCCAAAATGACCCATTTTTGGGGTAAAATTGCGGGTCCGAATTTCGCAAAACAAATTACAACATATTATTTCTGCTAAAAGTTTAAGCAAGTTTTGTCTTCATAAGTTTTCACCTAAACTCAACCCATTTTGAGAAAAACGGGTTTTAAATTTCAAGTTTAACGCGCTTTGTCCGGTTAATTTAAATCAGCACTGTATTTACAAGTTGCTGTTAGAATATGGCGCAAGCGATAAAACAAAATGCCAATTTTAAAACGTTTTCACGCTCGCATAAAAGTTTTACTCTCTATTTGAATTAATTAATTATTCTAGGAAAAATATTGCACTAGTGTTCCATTCAACTTCCTTTTCAAAAAACTAGTGCAATATTTGAAACACTAATGCAATATTTAAATATTGCACTACTGATTCAAATTTTGCACTAGTTTTTCAAATATCGCACGGAAACACACTGAGCACGTGTTTCATCAAATGAGAAATGTACCACCTCTGTACTTGAAATTGCGTGTCAAGTTTTTGATTTTGGTTCTGACCATTGAAAATGGGTAGGAGCTTTGTGTTCGGATGTGTTTTAGTTTTTTTTCTTTCTGTTTTCCACGCAAAATCAGCTACAACAAATAATCATCGGACTGGATTGAGTGATATATCATATTGAAGCGACGATTTGAAAGACAATAAAAATTAAAAAAAAAAAAAATCACCGGTTTGAGAAAAATCGGTTTGAAATTTTTGATTTTTCATCTAATTTGAGCGTGTGAGCAGGCCTAAACTAGCTTATTTATGCTTCATTTAAGCCTTGAAAACTTAAATTAACTCAAATTTAGCTTTTTAGCTTCATTGTAGCAATCAAGAATTTCAAAAATTTGGAGAAAAAATTTCGAAAAGTTAAAAAAAATTTCCCGTTTTGTCCTCGAAAATTGTTTTCCAAGTTGCATTTTTCTTAATGACTGACGAATATGCTTAAGCTTTATCTTTTTGCTCGGATTCTTTTATCATACCACTCCGAAAAAAATGACATTCATTTGAAAAAAAAAAGAAATTTGTAGTAATTTTTTAAGACTGGTCGGAAGTAACCGGCTATCCTTAACTACTTCTTCGAAACTAAAAACTACTTCGAAATTAATTAAAGTGCAGTTCGAGCATACTAGGTTTCGTCGTAAAAGAAGCGGACTTTTTGCTACTTGTAATAGCTATGCAAAGACTTACGTAGTTAATCCGGTTCCATTGCAAGAAGATGCACAGCGTACAGTTCCCCGGCCACACCCCTTGGGACACTTAACGTCACCATCTTTCTCGTTGTAAACAGTTCCTTTGCCGTTACAGTGTTTGCAATCGTGTCTTCCCTTTCCACCACAAGTACTACAATGCTTCGCTTCCCGATACGCTTCGATTTGTCTCTTACCTTTCCAGAACTCTCGGTCTGGGTGGATATCGTATTTCCAAACACCTTCTCGTCTGAAACACAAACCAACAAAAGCTGTAGAGTTCGTTTTTCTCTATCTAATGGCCATCGATATTCACTCAGTACTTTTCCGAGATGTGAGAAGCCTGCTCATGATTTTTAGAATTAAGCAAAGTCTTTAAATTACGGGTAATGGTTTATCCGAGATTTTTTTTTGTATACAGCAAACCAAATTTTTCGGTCTAAATGCCAAGCTACTGAACAAAAAACCGTGGGAAAATCTTAGACTTTTTCTCTGAAACAATCGGCAATCGATGCAACCAGGGGAAGATCTAGGATTTTCTCGAGGGGGGCGGATTTTCTATAAAAAAAAACTTCAACAATTTTCTCGATTTTTTTTTAGGTCGACCAATTTATTTTTTACGCTCTACCAAATCAATATAAAGAGCCTATTTTGCTCTATTTTAACCAAATTTTCTGCACCGCAGGCAAATTTTTGAAAAAAATACCAAAAAAGACTTTTTCTTCACCGCAGGCAAGTTTTTAGACACTTTTTGGAAATTTTTGACCAAAAATTGTGTTTTTTCGGCGCTGGCTCTCCATCAAAATTAGCGCCTTTAGAAAAATTTTAGGGCCAGTAAGCCAAAAATGGATACCTCAAAATAGTACAAAGGGGGGCACTTTGGGTCGGCAGGGGGTCGAATCTCAAGGAGGGGCGTCGAATCTCGAGCAACAGTTGCTTAAAAATCTGATTGGTGTCGGGGCTTTGAGAAACTGCTCTTATTATAATTCACAAAAAAAAACGGGAGGATACAAGTTGCAAAAACTATCGTGGTGTATCACTCTAACTGTTGGCGACTGCTTTCAAATTTCCGAACGTATTTTCAGAGAAACCATATTGCCATACAAACCGTATTTAATGAAAATTGGGGGCAATCTAGCCTTGGTTTTTCCATTAACGAAGATGAATATATGATGGGCTTGCTTATTACTTTTATAAGAAATACCTGACTTCTTTTTCTTGGTGCTAAAAATACAAATAGAAAAGAAATCTAAGGATAGAAATAGTACAAGTAACATGGAAAAATTAGGCAGACAAAGATGAGATCGTATTCCGCTTAACTTTACAAAGGCATTTGTAGAATTAAGCTTTCTTTATAATCTGACTTCAAAACATCAACAAGATTGCTTCAACATGATTCAAAACATCATTCAAAACACAACAAGAATAATCTGACTGCATTTTAGGTCTTTCATTTTTTGGAGTGGTGTTTGTTTCGCTTGAAATTTACACAAACTGCTTAAAATTTACAAATAGATACTTAGAAAATTTCCGCTCACTCGTTGTAAGAATGAAATATATTGCGCGTTATTGGCCAAATTGGGAGTCTTAAAATCCCCAAATTTTTAGGGAAAAAAAATCGCAGATGAAATATCTTCTCGAAGTTGAGCCCAGAACATTAATATTTTCAGATGATATATGAAAAACTGCAAAAATTGTTTGTTAAAAGTCGCAACTAGTCTGGAGAAAAAAAGTCATCCGTATGCAAATATTTCATCACTTTCTTCTTTTCTTCAAGAAACGTAGCAATTATTCTTTTGATTGACAGCAAGTTTTTCTGAATAGCAATAATTAATTGTCTTTAGACTGTCCTACTGATTTTTCATACGCCTGTTTCCATATATACTACTCTAGGGCCATGATCGTTTTTCAAGTCCTTTTTGTTCCGACTTTCGAAGAAAGAGACCGCTCGGGTTGAGTTCCAATTGAAAATTAACGATGGAAAGTTGAAAAACTCAGCTATGGCAATAGACCGTTAAGCGCTGCACATAGCACCCAAGTAGAAAATTTCAGTGCTGAATCAGCACTGATTCAGAGCTGGAAAATCCGAACTTTTGAACGGTGTATTAGCGGTGAATTAGCGATGATTTGTAAGCGAGGAACTACCGATAAGTAGGCGATGAACTACTGACTTAGAATACTGGAATACTGCAGGTCTTTTTTAACTGTAAGTCCGTAAGTCCTAAGTAAATCCTATAAAAACAGAATAGCAAATTACTGTAGATGATTTTCACTTGGAACTCCAACCTGGGAATATTTTTGTACGGCTTCTTTTTTCGTCAGACAAGTTTCGATTTCCTAGCTAGCAAATTTTGACGGAATTTTTTCACATAATTCAAAGGGTATCGTTATCTTGAGCTCCAATTTTAGAAAAATTTTCACATGTGATTTTTTGTTATATAATTGGACTTAAAAAATTGCCATTTTGCCCAATTGTTTTAATTAACTAGCAGTTTTCAGTGCTATTAATGCGTAAGCGAAGAAATATTCCGTCTTAGAAACTGTTCCATATTGAATTGAAGCATGCTTTTTGGTCTAGTTTTTGCGTTGCGCAAAACTTATCTTTTTGTACATAAATCGTTTTACATAGCGCGTGGGGGATGATTTGAAAAATCAAATAGATATATATATATATTTTTTTTGAAAACTTTATCACTTTTTTTAAGGGAAGACTACTCTTGGACCTTAAAAAGCAGTCGTAACATTCGAAATTTTGTCATGAGAGGAACAGTCTTGTTTATCGGGTTATTAGAATTTACCACTGTTACTATTGGAATTCACAAAGCAGCCCCTAAACCTCTAAATGATTTAAAAATCAATATCTATAAGCGATTTAGATTAAAACCTTTGAAGATTGCAAGTGTTATTGCTTTTCACTGCAACAAAATGAAGCGACATGGCTTTTTCAATTTTTGTTCTAACTAGAGCAATTATATTTTATTGTTCCGACTTTTGATACGAAAGTAACGGAATATTTGTGCTCGGGGTGGAGTTTTTTTTCTTCAGTTTGTCCTGAGCTTAAATTTGAAACAATATTTCACCTGTGATCATTTTTCGTAAAGTTATGAGGGTTTAAAGATTACAATTTTGGCTATATTGGGACAATTAACGCGCGATATATTTCGCGCTATTAATAAGTAAGCGGAGATTTAATCCAAATTGGTTGAAAGAAGCTTATGTGCCATAATTGGTTTGTTACAAGGAGCGAAATCTAATCTTTTGTAGTTTAAATGGCGTGTGGGGGGATGATTTTCATGGAAAAACATTCAAATTTTGGATTTTTTTTTTCATTTTTTTTTACGTTTAATTTGTTAATGATATTTATCTTATTACTGCTCCATAAACCTTAAAAAGCAGTCAGAACATTCAGGGCTTCGCCCTGATACGAGCAGTCTTGAATAATTTAAAACTCACTTTCCAACCCAGTTGCCAGAACCCGTTTGGTTGCCAGCTACTGTCTTCGAAGTCTCTCTCCGCTCCTCAACATAGCTGCAGAGGGTGTACAGATACTTGTAGGAGACAGGATATATTTCTCCCACCTCTATGAGAGACCTAACTTCTTTTGGTTTGCAGCAACATGATTGAGAGATGCGATAGTTCACCAGTAACTCTGCAGCTTCCTCTTTGCGAAGCTGATCTACAACAACAAGAGAAGAAAAATAATGAATTTGATCTAAAAATGAACACTGTTGTTTTCAGGTGCATACTAAATTTTTATTCCGACCTTTGAAAAATGAGAGGCATTTTGTATTGATTCTGTTCATTCAAAATCAGGTACTTCAATTAATTTTCGGAATGGGTCGAATGTTATATCTTACTGAATCTTAATAGTTTCGGATAAAAAAATTTTCTAGAAAACATTTTAGTATCGGGGAAAATTGTTTATGAAAATTTTGTGTTTTTCGTTTTGAGCAAAAAAAGAACAAACAGGTCGATTATAGAACTTTGTTTTTTGTATGTTTGGTCATTTTTTGGAACAAAATGACTAAATTGCAAGTTTTATCAAACATGCCCAAATATCAAGCTTTCGTCTAGATCCTTTTATCACCCTGGCTCGAAAAAACTACCCTTTTTCAAGAAAAAATTTTGTTTTATAGCATATGCTTCGAACATAAGGTGTTCATTCCACAGCCAATGGCTGTATTTGTTTTAGTTTGTTAGTTTTATGTTTTCCAGCGAAATCAAGTGCCACAAATATTTATCGGAAGCAGTTGAATCATAAAAGCTCTTCCAGTCGTGATTCAAATGACATGATAACTTTTCCTTCAAATAATCTCAGTGTCGATAAAAATATTTTAGTTAGCAAAAAACAACAATTTTGGTATCTTCGTTTAGCTTTTCCTAAAAAACTTTCATCAAATCAAAAAATTATTCTAAGAAAATTAGAAAAAAAATTAGAAACTTTTCTCTGAACTTTTTTGATATTTTTTTTGTTTGTTATTCATTATCCGAAGACAATTGTTGTCCATTGTGCCTAATTCACTACCGTTATACGCGTTTGTATAGTTTTCTCAACGCACCATAAAAAAGAAAACGACACTGTTTAGTAAAAAAAATTAATAAGTTAATAGTATTAATAATAATAATAATAAAAAATTGTTTTCAGGTTCACAAATTTGCAGATTAGTATAACATATTGGCAAAAACTATATCATCTTATGAAGCCTGAGAGAACGCCTTTAGACCATGTTGTTGGAAGATTCTGTGATACTTGCACAGCAAGCAACCGGCCGGCTATCCTTTTTTGCACTTTTTTAAACTATTTTGCTGCAAAAACCCATAAGACGGTTGACAACCTGCATTTGAAGCTTGTTGCTGTCGAGGGGGAGAAGCGTCATAAGCCGGCAGTTCAGGGGCATAGGCAGGTGGAGGTTCCGGATGAGAGAATCCAGTGTTGTCTGCTGGTTGAATGGCTAAACATGAAATAAGTTAGAAGAGACATGCGAACTTTATAGAGCATGCAATCTTGAAAAAATGCATAATGCTTTGCAGGTTTGCTGAATGGCAAATTGTAGCGTTCTTGTTTGTTTCTGTTCAGTTTTTTGCATCAAGACCCAACGAGACTTAATCAGCGCAGGACGATGAATAATTATTCATCATCGGTTGTGACAGGGGTGAATTAAAGGGGGCCTGAGGGTTTTTTGCCCCCCCTTTCAGGGACTCGAACCCCAGTCAACCCAAAGGCGCTTTTGTATGTTATCACTTTTTTATAGACTATCCTTAAAACTAACACTTTGGCGCCATGCAAAACAAATTTGAGTAGGGCTGTGGGTCCGGAAAAAAACGAGATTTCTGTCAAAAACTTTCAAAACGTGCTTACACTTTTAACAAATTGTCTTCAAGGAAAACATTTTGCATATCAGAGGAAGGACTTGGAAAATCAATTCAGCCGACCCCGAAAAAAGATTAGACAAAATTTTCGGAAAAGCTTGAAAAACCTTTTTGCCCCTAGAAACAATCCTAGATCCACCCCTGCGAAAATTTTTGTCGACCTTTTTTTTAGGTCAACCGAATTGATTTTTCGAGCTCTCCCTAAGCCTGTTTATTAGTCCCTATTTTGGCCAAATTTTCTGCGCCGCAGGCAAAATTTTGAAAAAACAGGCCAAAAAAGGCATTTTTAGGTACTTTTTGGAAAATGTTGACCAAAAAGTTGCGTTTTTTCGGCGCGCGCTCCCCCCTTAAATTTAGTATATATTGGCAATGAAGGCGTCTTTAGAAAAATTTTAGGGTTGGTCGGCCAAAACTGGACTTCTTAAAAGTGCCAAAGGGGGGAACATTTGGGTCGGCACGAAGTCGAATCCCTGAGAGGGGGGGGGAGCCCCTTCCTAAATCCGCCCCTGGTTCTGAATAATCTTCAGGAAACTAGTTTTTACTTTTTAATTAGCCTTCGGTTTGTATATTGATTTTATAATTATAACTCTGTATCAGAATGTCTGGAAGTGTTCTTTAATCGCCAAAGTTTTCAAGTTTTATATATGCTAGAAAAAAATTCGAAAAACGTAATACCAGAAGCGGATTTAGTTAGAGGGGTGTTGAGGCGTTTATAGTTGGGACATGGCGTGTGTATGTCTTTTTATCTTAATGGGGTGTTTAAAAAACGGCATTGCGTCGTAAGAAAAGAGCTTCGCTCAAACAAAATCAACTCAGTAATTCAGTCTGGAATGTGGGAAAATTATACAAACGGCCTATGCTTAGACAGGTAATAGCCTTTCATAGATCCTCTGCAAAGCAATCACATCAATTACCATCCACTGCTATTTAACATTTGTTTCACGCTAGTTTTTGCGAACACTTTCGAAAAAACTCACACTTCGGCAAGACTTTTAGATCCTTCTGGTTTCTACGACAACTGAACAGATTAAGAGAGAGATTGTTGTGATCTTACATCAGGTTTTGCAATTATTGCAAAACATACTTAGTTAATTAACCGGTCACTCATATATGACCTTCATGAGCCATTCTCTCCGGCGGAGAGAATGATCTCTCTTTGTTTTAATGTTTTAACTTATCGACTAATTCATCTTAATTCTTATTCTTTTTATTAGTTTTAACCTAGAATTAGCTACAACAAAGTAATATTTTATCATGGCGCAGTCATCTAACGAATCTAACGTGAGAGGAATACCTCCTTTTTGGCAAAACCATACGGTAGACCCACCCATCCCTTGGGAAGACTGGAGTGATCTGTTTCAATTAGCTATAATTGCTAAGGAAAACATAGATATAGAAAATTTATTCAATCCGTCGGAGAGACATCACCCACTACCTCCAAATTTGGAAAACTCAACGGACGGTGAAACAGATACTCAAAGACGCTCGAGATTGGAGAGAAATTCCCAAGAACAAAGACGATATGACGAAGAAGAAACAGCATCGATAAAAACCGAAACCAAGAAATTCAACGGAATGCGAATAGAAGAAGCAGACAAGAAATTACGTTCGGTTTTATATCTGGCACTGGGAAATGAAGGAAAAAGGATCTTCGGACAAAAATTTACCAAGGTGAAAGTCCTACAAATTTTTTTTAAGGAATTCTGGGAGTTCTTAGCGATCGCTTTCGTAAGAAAAACAAATGTCACTTTTGAACGACATAAACTGTTAAATAGAAAACAACGCGATAGAGAATCCCTCGAACAGTTCTGGGGTGCCTTAGCTGAAATGGCGAAAAAGTGCGAGATAATCGCAGGAGAAGAAGAGTGGATAAGGGATATTTTCATAAATAATATGAAAAACTACGACATCCAAAGGAAATTGTTAACAGAAACCCTCCCTCCACGCGAAGCACTAAATGTAGCACTCATAGACGAAAAAGGAATTTTAAATCACTTGAAGTTAACCAATAATTTTAAATCCAACGGATCATCCGTACACAAACCAAGCAACCACTTTAACGTCAAAAGAGAACCAACCCTTAACATCGAAAGGAGTAACAACTGTATGAAGTGTGGCGGATTATTCTCAAAAGGTCACTTAGCAGTTTGCCCAGCAAAGGACACGACTTGTACTTCATGTAAATTCAAAGGACATTTCACCAGACTTTGTAGATCTCGTCGCAAAAATGTAAACATTGTAAATACCCAAATTGTAGATAATACAGATTTTAATCCGTCGGATATTCAGGATGTAAATACTGACCTCATGGATAGAGAATGTTGTGGCGTCATAAACGCATGGTCAGAATCTGGACAAAGCGAAAACGACGATTATTCTGTACTAAATGTAACTACGATTTTTGATAACGATGGAAAAGAATTGAAGAAACTATTGAACATTGGACTCGGAAAAGAAAACCAAGTAATTTTAAACATTCAAGTGGATTCAGCTAGCCCGGTGAGCTTCCTTAAGAAAAACGTACTTCACGAATTAAAGTTACGAGACCCCTACTTGAAAATTTATCCAGTGGATAAGTCAACTAGAGACCTATACTGTGGATTCACAGATAATGCCATAAACATCACTGGAAAAGTGAAGCTTCCGATATTTTCAAATGGTTGGTCAGACAACGACTGTCAATTCTTTCTAACCGAGGGACACGAGAGAAATATCTTAGGAAACGACAACCTTCCAAAAGTGGGGATAGAAGTTAGGGTTAGGGTTAGGGTTAGGGTTAGGGTTAGAAAGACCGATATAGCAGTGTACGTCAATAAATTCCATCTCTCAAACAAACCAAGATAGGGAAATTTTGAATATAACAAAATCATTCAAAAATTTATTCCTTCGGATTGGAAAAATTAAAAATCAGATGAAAATCACCCATTTCCATGAACCCTTAAAACCAATCCAACTAAAGGGAAGACGAGTCCCCCTTCACTTACTGGACGCGGTAAAGACAGAACTCAATAGACTAAAAGCGGAAGGACATATTAAAAAATTAGAAAACTGCGATGAAGACAGATTCATTAGCCCAATAGTCATCACTTGTAAAAAAGATAAATCCATCAAATTAGCCTTAGATTCCAAGTTCATGAACAAACAGATTTACAAGAACAAATATCAAATGCCAAACATCCACGAACTGGTAGACAATGTCGCGGCACAAATTACTAATGATTCCGTTGGAGAAGTGTGGTTTACTAACTTAGACTTAAAAAACGCGTACAGCCAATTAGCACTAGATAAATTCACTAGTAACCAATGTAACTTCAGTATCGTGGGTGGTGATATTACGGGTACTTACCAATTTTTAACTGGTTTTTACGGCTTAGGGGATATGCCTAACAAATTTCAAAGAGTAATGGACTCTACGTTAGGTTCAATCCCATTTACTAACTGTTACTTGGACGACATTTTAATCTCTTCCAAAGGATCATTCTTAGACCACAAGAATATTGTATTAAAAATTTTATCGACCTCGACGAATACAATTTCGCGGTGAAATGGTCAAAATGTAAATTCTTTCAAAAAGAAATAGAATGGTTGGGATTCAAAATCTCTAAATCAGGTATTACCCCATTATTCGACAAATCGAAAGCCATAAAAGATCTACCTATTCCGAAGAATTTGAAAAAACTACGATCATTTTTTGGTTCTATAAACCAATACATTAAATTCGTCCCAAACGTAGCATCCTTAGGAAGCCCACTCCGACCGCTTCTAAATAAGAAATCAATATTCCAATGGAACGATGACCATACAAAAGCGTTTGAAAAAATTAAAGAAGAAATTGTAAACCTAACAGAGAATACCCATTTTGACGTGAAACGTAAAACTAGAGTAAAAACAGACGCGTCACATAATGGACTCGGAGCTTCGCTTGAACAACTCCATGGGAACGATTGGAAAACAATCACATTTGCTTCACGCTTTTTAAACCCTCACGAGTCTAAATATTCTACGAACGAGCTCGAACTACTAGGGGTTGTATGGGCCGTCGAGCATTCTAAGAATTACCTTTACGGATCAGATTTCGAAGTAATTACTAATCACAAAGCTTTATTATCCGCTTTATCACCAAACCACGGGAATAAAACTTACCACAGTAGACTAACAAGATGGGTAGACAGATTATTACCTTTTAATTTCTCTATCAAACATATCGCAGGAAAAGACATGGGTTTCACTGACCTTATTTCTAGAATTCCATCAGGAAAAGCTCTTCCAATATCACATTACGATGAAGAATTCGTAGTAGCAAACATTAAAAAGATTAATAAATCATTAAATCCGTCGGAGAAAATAAGAACTACATGCTCAGCCATTGGTTTTAATCTGGAAAATTCCGATTACGCTTTATTACGTAATTACCTAATAGCAGCAGTGTTAAAACTCATTAACTCGTCTTTTCCAATTTGCTCATTTAATCACAAAAGAACAGAATTTTGTACTTCAAATTGCATTCCAACGGATTATTCTAATACAAATACATTAATTATTTCCATTTCTAATTCCGCATTTCTTTATTTTTTAATCTCTAATTGTAGTTTAATTAATTCACCTGTACATAAAAAAATTGTAGATACTGTTTATATGAATCATAAGAATATTGTAATTAATCCCACCACTTCCGGTATTTCCGTAGATTTAGACTTTCAACTTTTACCAGACCACGCTAATCTAGCTAAAAAATACCGCGAAAACTTGAAGTTGCCGGATCGACCCTTGGATTTAAATATTTTATTTAACGCCAAGTTAGTAGCTTTCTTGACAGAAGACGATCCCATGTTGAGCCCAATTGTTAAAGCACTTCAAAATAAGGTGGAGAAGATTAATGCAGATTCTCCGTATTTCAAACATTTTACCCGAGACCTGCACGAATCCGACGGATTGCTCTATAGGGACGGTAAACTCGTTATTCCATTTACTTTACGAAGCACGATGATGAAGACCCTCCACGAAACACATCCAGGTCAATTTGGAATGAAATACTTGGCTCAATACATCTGGTGGCCTCATATTAACAGGCAAATCTACTTTCGCGGAATAAATTGCTCAGAATGTACATCGGCGGGTACAAGAATTTGAAAACTGTCATTCCTAAGTCACAAATTAGTGAACTTCCTCCACTATCGGAACCGAACGAAGAACTTAATTTAGATTTCGCGGGTCCTTTGGATTCTTACTGGGGGCCAAAGAAATACATTTTACTTTGTATCGACAGATTTTCTAAATTCCCGTCGGCAAAAATTACATCGTCTACTTCTTCAAAAACAGTTGTAGAATTTTTACAAGACTACATATTCTTACACGGGATACCTTATTCTATAAAGGTAGATCACGCTACTTGCTTTACAAGTCAAGACTTCAAATCATTCTGCGATTCCAACAACATCAAAATAATCTTTTGTACAGTAGGCGACCACCGTTCCAACGGATTAGTTGAAAAATTAGTACACACTGTGAAAATCAAACTACTCGCTATTTCAAAAGAACATCATAAAAGCACACTGCAGAGTGCCGTTTCAAAAATCATCTGGAATCTACGTTCTACCTATCAATCAAAAATTAAATGTTCACCCTTCGAAATCCACTATAACAGAAAACCAAATACTATTTGGAAACAACTAGCCTCTGTTAAACCCTCCTTTGGAATTTTAGACAAAGGGAAATCAATTCTGTCTAAGGAACGAGCTAAGGATTGGAATGCGGACGACAGACTAGAGGATGGCTACAAGGACGACTTGATAGCGAAGAAGAATCAAAACCCGAAAGAAAAAGGATACGACACGGACTATGCTTCATCCTCGAAAATCATCCCAAATAGACTACCAATCAAAAATCCATTCAAAGGTAAAATCCTTCGGAAAACTAACGGTAACATCAACCGAGACTGTTTCTATAAGGAACTAAATAAAAGAATTATAGATTCTTCTACTTCAACAGTAAAATTATCCGACGGAAAAATAATTCGAAAATCCGACATTGCGATTCCTATTTCTACTTCAAATAAAATCAGACCTTTTAAAGGAAACATTTCATTCCCGTATTTTCCTAATCCTAATGTTGAAGTAGGTCAGAAACAGGAAGGCGTAAGACGTAAATCAGGAACGAAAAAGCCAACGAAAAAAAGGACCAGACAAGTGGATACGACCCCTTCTGACAACTTAACTAGGACACGCATATCAGGGTCATCACGCAATACTACAAGAAGTCAAACACGCTACTCAAAGAAGTCATCAACTCCTCCAGGTTACCTTGCTTCGGATGAATCTATGCTAATTCCTTCGGATATTTCGGATACAAGTGAATGGGAATGGATAGCGGGCGGCTTCCCTTGTAGGGATGTAGCCAGAGAGCGTTTTATTTCAGACTCACTTACACCTCACCTCTCAATCGCAAATAATTCTAATCACACCATAACCAATCCTGAAATAAAATCTGAGATTTTAGAAAACGACATTGAACCAAGCAGAGAACAACCTTTGGACCAATCTTACGAGTGCCCAATAAGTATAATACCCGCCAACCGAACACATAGTACTGAGGAGCAGAGAACCATAAACCAGGGAAGGGACAATGACACCATTGAACAACAGGACCTGCAAGACGTGCCTAATCCAATGGATAACGATTCAAATACGGACTTCCCGGTGTACGAGATTATTGACTCAACCGACGAGTGTACTTTACCTGACGAGTGTACTATACCTGCTAACCCTACCAGCATTTCCGGTAAAATTCCTCCTACCATCCGCCGCTCCAGTAGAAATGTTGGTCCACCAAAATTTTATGGTAAACGTTATTTTATTGATGCAGTAGAGAACGTTCAAGAAGCCTCGGGTTCGGCGGCCGATCCTATCGTGATAGAAATTGAAGGACCACACGACACCATCAACAAGACAAATCCGGCGGAGTTAATTGTCTTAGATTCAAATTCAACATCACCTGATCAAACGTCAACTTCATCAACCGACGAATCACTGAGAATGGAAATAGAAAATTTTGGAAATCACTCTCATCTCGATAGCGAACTTTTCAACACAGAACTTGAAAACTTTCTAAAAGAATATAAATCTTTGTAATCACTCAGCTATACTCTAATCTGTTATTTTGGCTTACCAAGAAGCACATATCACCTTATAAACTGGTGCTAATCTTCAAATATTAATTTGTCGATCGGTAAACGTAAGAACTTTATCCTTCGGATAAACTTAATCCAGAAAAAGAAAACATCATCGTGTGCTCTCATAAATCATCCAAATCGACTTCCCTTCAGTTAGTCTATTACAAAGCAAGACCCCACCCATAAAACGTTGGGTAAACTTCACCGCATTTTATTTTGCTTTAACATTGCGGATTGTTGGATTCCGGATAATCTTTCTTGCAGTTATAATAGCTGTATTTAATGCTATAGGGAGCTTTAGTTAGTGTCAATTCCTCATTTTTAAGGCGCTTTAATTTTCTTTCCCTCGTCCTTAAAGGGGGAGAAAGGAGTCAGTCATAGTTAGTTCTAGTTCATTACCTTATTCGCAATTTAAATTTTTTCCTGCTTAGGGGAATGTTGTGATCTTACATCAGGTTTTGCAATTATTGCAAAACATACTTAGTTAATTAACCGGTCACTCATATATGACCTTCATGAGCCATTCTCTCCGGCGGAGAGAATGATCTCTCTTTGTTTTAATGTTTTAACTTATCGACTAATTCATCTTAATTCTTATTCTTTTTATTAGTTTTAACCTAGAATTAGCTACAACAAAGTAATATTTTATCAGAGATCCATGGAACAAAAATGACCTTGAACACGGTTACCTCGCTCTCCAGTCATCAGAGCTACCATGTTCCAATTTTTGAAAAGGTTTCATAAAAAAGCTAAGAAAAAGTGATAAATAATCAAAATAATTATAAATTTTCTTTCTTACTAACCTGTCTTTTTCCCCATGACTGCCCACAAGCTGAATGATAAATTCTAACAAAACAAGTCTCTTCAATGAACTAGAAATTGAAAAACGACCCGGCAGGTAAGCGTTTGGGTTTAAAAGGTTAAAAAAACTGGGTAATGATACTAGGGTTGGATGTACGGGATGCAATCACTTTTGTTTGGCAAACACTAAAACTTTCTAAAAGCGCCAATTGCTACCAAATTTGAAGGAGTGCATGCTAAAAAAATCAAAAGCTATGATCAAAAGCTTTGATCAAAACCTTAAAAAGTCAATTTGTTATTTTATCAGGAACTCGGCTGCGGCGTAGAAAACTTTGGCATTTAGAGTCTTAAGGAGAGCTTAAAAAATAAAAATCGTCCAAAAAAAACTATGCTACAATCATCAGTTTTCCAACCAATTGTATTATGAAATCTGCTTACGAGGATAAATATTTTAAGTTTAGGTTGATCAACTTTGTACCCTCAGAAAATCCCAAAAACCCTCACTAACATCAATTTATACGCCAATTTAGCTGCCGGCTCTTAAGTTTTTTTGTTAAACATAAATTTGAGTTAGAAAAAAGAGAAGAAACAACTTTACAGGCGTCTTTCATAAAATAACTATTTTCATACAAAGAGTAATATATGAATATAAATGATCTAAAGCACAGCTATGCTGACGTCAAAAAACTCTGAATCAAAACTTGAATGTTATCAATGAATTTTAAAACATCATATAATAGAGACGGCCATAACAACAAACTATCAAATGGTGAGTTGCTTCTGACTAGCATTAAAAAACGGTCTAGTTTTGCTGGCTAATGTAATACATAGATCAAAACTCATGTTTACGTTTTTATGTACACATTTAGCTGAATTCAAAAATTATAATTTTTTGAATAACTAGTGTGATGGTAACTTAAGACGCCGTAATTAGGCATCTTTTTGTGAAACAAAACAACAAAGTAATTTGCACTGGTTCTTCATGTGAACATGCATGTAGTCCACGTGAATAAAAGGAACTGCATATAAACCAAAAGAATCAACATAAAAAACAAAAAAAGCACTAAGTCCAAACTAAAGATGTTCGTGGAGCGAAAAAACTGACCCTTACAATTGAATACATTGATCTCGGGTGGACTTTTTTTCTTTTTTGGAGACTTTTCTGGAGACTTTTCAAAATTTTTTGGAGACTTTTCAAAATTTCAAAAACTAAAAAAAAAATAAAAAACTGTCCCGACATTTCGATCTTGGAAAATATCTTAAAAGAACTTTTATTCGTGTTGTACTAGAAATTTAAACAATCTAATGTTCAGAATCGTCTAGCTAACAGAGGCAAAATAGCTCTGCGTTAGTTCGCTGTTTTGCACAGATCCATATGCGTATGTGCTATCCAACAACTTTATGATTAAAACTATTTATTAACAAGGGAAGAGACTGTAGGATCCATGACCCAAATACTTGTTCGGCTGACTGAGAACTCGACTGGGAAGTTGTCCTTGGCAATTGCGTGCAATATAGTCAAGCTTAGTAGTAGAATTTATCTTGGTTATCACTAATAAGTAATATAATTGAAAAACAAACAGATATTCAACACTCAAAAAATGTTAAGGTAAAATTACCCTAAATGAGTTAAGGTAAAAAAAAATTAAGGTAATATTTACCCTAACATTACCTTAACTTTACCTTAAAATATTGTTAGGGTAAAATTTACCTTAACTGAATTAAGGTAATTTACCTTAACTCAACCCAAAAAAAAATTAGAATCTTTGAATATTTAGACCCTCTTCAGCCAAAAATCCTAAATGAAGTGGTACTGGCTTACTAAAGATACTAGAGATGACTTGATGCGGCTATGCATTAAAATAAACACCTTCTACCCTCTTGGCCCAAATGATAACATTTCCCGCCCCTATTATATCCCCAAATTGCCCTATTATAACTCAACATCTAGCGTTGCAATGAAACCGAGTTTTAGTATGTTATAGACCTAGTAGGGGAAGTACAACTCTAGAATCCGAAACCCTTGGACACCTAACTCCGTTGTTACGACCGAGGTGAACAGTCTGTGTTTCGCCTTCTGAAAGTCCTTTTTTGAAACCCAGTGAACACAAGGAACCCGAACTTTGGGACACGGGAGGTAGTGAAAAGAGACATCATCTATTATAAAATGAAGCAAATAAAGCGGTTAGACCGGAAGTTAATAGCGCTTGGGTTGAATTAAGGTAGTGGATTGAATTAGAGTGAAATTAGGCAAGCATTGGATTGAATTTAGCTATGATAGTTAAGCTATTAATCGGAAGTCAACAAGATCAAAGAAAAAGAGTCCTAGTGAGAATTATGATATGAGTAATATGAGTGCGGTTCGGGAATTAAGTCTCCCAAAACATGAAAGGGTATGATAATCACTTAGCTCCCTGAGATGGCCTTTTGATGCCATTGGACTCCAAAAGGTCGAAATAACCTCCACTGATAGCTAGAAAGTCGGGATTGAAATAGAAAAAGCAAAGGATAAAATATAGATAATATTAGAAGCTTAAAGTGTAGTACCTACATCTGAAAAAGACCTCTCGTTGTCCCTGGAGGCACATGGACTTTTCAGATGAAGTTGGACTGGAAAGTTGCACAAATTGCCTGGAGATAGTCATAATAAGCTTGGAATTCATCACTTGTGATGTCAGGGAAAATTTTCTGTTGGGATCTTGCGCAAAGGTACTAAAGAAAATGTCAGGACTTGTAGTGAAAATGATAATTATAACTGAAACTTATGTAGAAATACACCAAAAAACTGCTAATTGTTTGATTGTTTCGTTTGGTAATCTACGACTTTCATAACATGAAACTCTTTGATGTTGTTTGTTTCTTTCAGAATCAATCATTTTTGAAAATTCTTGTGCGAATCTTTTCCGATCTGATTTTATATCTATAGGTAAAAATGAAAACCTTTTTGAGCTGCGCCATCAAGCGTTGTTTGGATTAACGCTGTGCGTCTATGTATCCAATTTTGATGAAGTGGCGTGTTTACTGGTTCAGGTCATATATTTAAAATTAATTTTGCTGTGACTGCATTTAGATAATTTTCTACAGAGTATTCAGGATCTGCGCCTGTAAACACTATTAGTGGCTTATTTGTTGAAATTGACGATCCACCCATTAGGTATGGATTCATAGTCATTTGTAGTGATTGTGCGACATTTGGCTTTTGAGAAAAGTTTGTAGGTTGATTTTTGTTATTTCAAGTTGTTGTAAAAGATATTGCAGTGGAATTTTATTATGCATTTGAGTTGGTTGGTATGATTGTGTATTAACTGTGTTTTTTTGATGAAAGTTTTTGTTGTAGGATGTTGGATTATTTCTAGGTTGTCGTATTTGTTCATTTCGTGTGTATGGTTCGAAATTATCTGGTTGGTCTATACTGTAAGAACGAGGTCTTTGGCTTTAATAAAATCGTTGATGATTTTGATTATAGTATTCTTCACCATCTGATGGAAAATATTTTGTTGTATAATAATGAGACTGATTTCTGGTATGGTATTTATTTGTTTTATTTTTATTTGGTGAAAAAATGGTAATTTTCACTTTGTTCTTGCGAGGATCGTGGTTGATCATGAAAATTTACTGCATTTGAAGTAGTATGTGGTATATTTTGAATTTGTGAATATAAAAAAATTTGAGTATTCGTTTTGTTGTTTTTGGTCCATTTACATAGCTGTAGTTATGTTATGCAAAATTTTTTCTATGTGATGTTTGTTGTTTGTATGATGGTTTTGTTACTGGTCGAAACGTTGGATAATCCATTTGTGATTGTTTTTGTGCAACAGAGGGTTTTACTGTGGATTGTATAATTGTTTGTTGTAACGTTGGGTTTTTTAGTTTTGGAGTTGTAAAATTTGATTGAATAGGTGAAATGCTTTGTTGTGCTTCTGTTATTGTTATTGCTTCAATTATTTCTTCGCTTACAAAATGTGATGGAGTTTGTATATCTTGTTGCGTAAGATTTTTTGTTCCCTTTAAGTTGTCATGATTTATAAAGGTAGAGTTTAAACTATTTTTTCCTGTTCCTTCTAGTTTAAAGGTGTTGCGTCAATCGTAAGGGTGTATACTCTAACATAATCTTTGTGAATAGAGATTGTGCTAATTGCTTGGCTTGATATATCTGTTGGTGTATTATTAAATGATTCATGAGTCCCAAACATAATCTGATTGTTCTGCTAGTACGGTTCCGTCATCTGTATTTTGTGGTCTGAAATTTTTTCTTGCTTGTGCAATAAGATCAAAATTAATTATAAAATGATCAATTATGAACCAAGCTAAGTTTTTTTAAATTAAGTTTTTGTAAATCGCGTTTAAGATTATGTGTTTTGTCATTACTTGTTACATCTTCTCTGATTGCAATCAAAAAATTTAAAAATATGTGTATTTTTTTTCGTACAATTGTATATCGAGATGTTTGAGTTGGTCAATCGCTTTGAGGTTCATTCAATTCTAATTTAGATGTATAGCTATAGATAAGTGAGAATTGATCAATTGTGAATACTGAGTTTGCTCTTAGTGAGTTTTGGTGTTGTATACTTTTGATGGATTGTGTGAAAATTTTTTGAAAATTCAATATCTACGTCATCAGTTTAAATGAGATATCTGTCATGAAATGCATTTGGTGATTTGATTTCTATTGTGTAGGTTCCATATTGTGATGTGAGACTACATACAGCTTTGAGATAGTTGTCAAGAATATGTCTTTCGATTTTCACATCAAGGACTTTCACATGATTTTCACATCAAGGACTTGCATGGAATTTCTCCTTTTTCGAATAAATTTGCGATTAGGTTTTGGCGAAATTGTATCTGTCCTCGAGTGTCAGTTATTGGATGTATTAAAAATGGAAGTACTGAATCTTCTACGTTATCTTCAGTTCGAATAAATTTTGTGTTGTATCACTGTTAGCGTATAATTTTCAATGTGTCTTATTGGTTGATTTCAATTGTACAAACGTATTGGTTTATTTGTGTAGCAATTTTTTATTCTTCGTTTCCCTTTTTTTGATGCTGTTGACGTGGTTTCTGAGTCGGTGAAATATATTTGATTGTCAGTTTCATGGTTTTTATTTATTGAGTCTTTTAAATTGTGAAGTTCTTGTATTGCGGTTGTTTCTGGTTCTGAGACTGTGTTTCTTCGTTTTGAAAATCTTTTCCTTATAATTTGTTTTTGTTTGGTTAATAATTTTCTTTCTTTGTGTTTATTTTTTTTTGTTTTTATGTATCCTATTGATTGTCTGTGTGGTGTGATTCTGAGGTCGTATCTTTCGTCGTTAATTAAACAGTTGTGTATTATAGTTCTTTGTTTGTTCCCTAAATATTCTCATGACATAAAGTTTAAGTTGATGGGTGCAAAGTTTGGATAAGTGATTTGAATATCCTAAACTGTTAGTTCTTACGATTTTTTGTGGTTAGCTTAACTTGCGCCGTATTTAATGGGATGGAGAGAAAAGCGCATATTAGTTCGTGAGAATTATTTTTACTTTCTCGTGAATAATCCTAAGTTACTTAGGGGTTATGATTTGTTATCAAGGGTTGGAGAATAGTAAATCGATCCACAAGGTTCAGGTATAATTAGAACGCAACTAGTTCGTTAGATACTATTTTATGACTGACTAAGTTTAAGTGTTTTAGCCTGGGTCATCTAAGAGGAGGG